GACATGACTACACCTGCCTCGCAATAACGAACTCTGACGTATTTCCCCTTCAGCATGAATAGATTTTTCTTGGCATTCTGCCAAATACAGATCCCATCAGTTAGGGTACAAGTACTTGTTGGATAGTTTTTAATTAGGGAGCGGAAAATTTTTGAAAATGTCTCTAAACGGCACAGAAGCTATACATTTCTTACCTTTAATTTATTTTTGAGTTATGGTTTCATTTCATGCATTTTTCTTAACTGTCATTTCATGTCATATATCAGGACTTAGGTTGAGTTTTTGCATCTATACAGTCCATGACGATGTCAAGCGCAATTTAATCTATTGCGGCATTTCTGTGTAATTTTAATTTTCTTCCTGCGATTTTTCTCGAGTGCGACGTTTATGCTGATTCGGCCTTTCTTCCGGAAATTACGGTAAATAATGCAGCTCAAACATTTCAAAGATTTACTGATCAAGTTTTACAAAGTTTAGATTGCTGTTACGCTTACCTCATTGATGTACTCATAGCATCAGAAGATGAAACCACACGCACAAAGCCGATTTAGAAAAGGTGTTTGAATTATTGAAGAACTACAGACTTAAAATTAATTTAGCTAAATGCGTTTTGGGGCAAAGAGAAATCTGATTCCTAGGTTTCCTAGTTTCTTCAGATGGTATATCCCCATTACCAAAAAAGATAAAAGCTCTATACAAATACCCGCTACCTAAGACTGTAAAGGATCTAAGGTGATTTCTTGCAATGCCTAACTTTTACCATCATTTTATACAAAATGCAAGCTTGTCTCCATGATTTGGTAAAAGGAAAAATAAAGGACTTGGCAGAACTTAATGGGATGATAAAACAAAAGATGCATTCAACACCTGCAAGCAATTATTATTCAATGCTACTTTGTTGGCACATCCTGTTGAAAATTGCGGGGTGTCACCAGCTGCAGCCTATCATCCATGCATCATTAGGGCCATCATAGTGCCCTGAATACAAATTAGAGGTGGCGTGGAATTGTACACGATTGTACCCCAAAACACCATGATGCCACATTGTTGTGTGGTGAGGCATTCCACAATTGCTGTCGGGTTGGACCTGTCTCCACATTGGTGCCACACTCGTATGCGATGACTATCATTGGAGAAAAAGAAGCATGACTCATCCGAGAACATGACCCTGTGCCATTCCGTCACCCACAATGCTCGAGCCTGGCACCATTGCAGACAATGACGTCAATGGTGGTCTTCTTAACGGATAACATGACTGCGGGTAAGTAGCCACCAATCTACAGATAGTTCGCTTGTTCGTGGATGCATCGATCCACATGTACTGACATCACTCTGGCTGCACAGGCACCCCTCAAACTTGCCACATTGCCTTGTTCCACCATTGTCGCCACAGCCAGCGCACTGTGAATGTGTCCAGGTGTATGTCAGGTGAAATTTGCCATACGGACCAACCTGCCCTTCTTAGTTTGATCACCATGACCCTCATAAAATTATCTGTCTGCTGGAACTGCCTCTGTTGATGATGGCCTGGCATTCTCTGCTATTACACATGTCCTATGAGACAAGAACAGATTTACTACGATGATTTCCCTAGCAGAAATAATAGCACAAAATTTGAACATTCTGCAGGTTACTTCCCTTATATCTTCTTCAATGTGTACTGAAGAGCCGAGTGTTTCACATGATTCGCATAATTCAGTGACGTGTACTTACCCTGAAATTTGCGTAATTTTAGGGCCAATCCTTGGTGTTGCATTTTTAATGTCAGGTAGTGTGTAAATAATTTTAGTAAAATTATATGTGAAACTGCAGTATTTTTTGTAAAAGGTGTGGCTATTAATTTTCAGGACTGCCCTAATAACACCAGAACAGATGATGTGAAAAACATAACTTCGAATTAATCCCCATCTGCCGTAATACACTTCTGTGCTCGGCTGTATAAGTTGTGGAAACAACTTTTAAAGTACTCTTTTGGAAGGCTCTTCAATGTCGAAGTCACATTCTTCTTGATGTCTTCAACATTCACAAAGCGTGTTCCTTTGATCACAGTTTTGAGTTTGGGAAACAAAAAGAAGTCTGTGGGAGCCAAGTCAAGAGAGCACGAGCATGAGTTCAGATTACTGAGAGATCGCCGTACGAGCTTCACCTTTCTAGATGCACTTTGTATTGCTTTGTGGTTAATATTCTTAGTAGTTTAAAGCATAACTACATGTGCTCTGTGATACTGAGAAGAGCTGTACGAATATTTCTGTGGGAAGTTCTAGAACTGTAGAACTGTTTCTTTTGAAGTCTTTGTTTGTTTTGGTAAAATTTATTTTACCAAGCTATCATCGGTTGTGTTTGCATTCAATCTATTACAAACCCGAACACATGCAACAGCATTATTATATTATTTAAGCAATATCAATTTAGTTTTCAACTTAATTCATTACAAATACCAACCAGACATATGCTAAAACATTTTAAACGTTCATTCAAATTATCATTATTTTATTTCCAACACTATACCATATTCAATTGTTTATTTTGGTTCCTGTTATTATTTTATATAGCCATTACATTAATTTATTCTCTGTAAATATATCATTTGATTAAGAATGCTTGCAAAACAATCCAAAATATTTCAGTTGCAATTCTAATACATTCTATAAAAGGCCGATTTACACTGGAATGAAAATAAATTAGAGATAATTATAAATAAAAACAAACATAACTCCAGCAACTTATTAGCTAATGGAGTAAAGTTTTACAAAAACTATGTATTTATAACTTGTGGGATGCAGTTTTGAGTATTTTACAGTTTTGAGATTCATTTTCAAACACACACAAAAAAAGAAAGCTATTAAATTATCATACTAAAACTAAACTTGGCAGCACAAACAGCTCTTAGAGACAATGGCTGGTGTATCCTTATATCTGCTTTCTAGACCATGGGCCTTGGGGTGCATGAGCATATAGCCTGGACAAGTAAGTGGTCAGCCCAGTGTGCTCGAACCCTGGACCTGTGGTGCTGCTACGCGAAGCACTAGCCACTGCACCACCGGGCTTACTAAATAATCATACATATAATAAATACCTTAAATCATCAAAAATGTAAAAAAGGACATCATTTTCTTCCAACAGAAACACTTTGCAACAATATTCATTGTTTTTATACGAGTTTTGAAAGGATTTTGCTGGGGGAATTTCTCCTGTTTAGCATAATTGCTAGCTTTTGAAGTGACCTATAAAAGGCTGGAATTCTGAAATCATGCTAACTAAAGCATTGAAAACATCTTCAATTCAGTTTAAATCAACCAAGTGTCAGATCAATCCATTTGCTGGATATCCTTACTTTTATTACCAAATTTGTGTTTGTTATAAAAAATCATATCCTTATTAAATTTTGGTATAGTTACTTAACAGCCTTTCCTTTTGCTTGTCTTATTCCAGCCTTAATAAAGAGTTCATTTTAAAATTGTTTAACATTCTTTTTTGTATTTCATGAGTTATGAAGATTTTTCTGCAGATTTAATGTTCTTTGCTACAAAATGGTAAGAAAAAAGTTGATTTGTATCATTTATTCTTTAATTAACTATTTACAAAAACTTAATATTTTCACTATATAAATTAAATGTTTGTATGTTTAAACATCTTTTCTAACTTTTGAAGCAGCATGGATCTCAGAAGCCATTAGAAAGCTTAAGCAATTTCCAGGTTTTTATTCTTAGTTTTGTATATCTTACTATAGTATTTATTTTTAAAATATCACAAGACATTTTCTATATTAAGAAAGAAAGCAAAATATGTTTTAAGTGGTTTTTGATAAGAAAATCACTTGGGGTTTATATTGTTGTGTTCTATGGGTTCGTGGATTGGGAGTAATTAATGATAACAGTTGAGGAAGAATCAAAATACAATTTATTCGCCAGTAAGCATTATTACACAGGACAGTTCCAAAGACATGTTTCCACTTTCCACTTGTCATAGTATGACAAACATGCTGAAACAATCAGCAACACAGCCTTCAGGCATAACAGTGAAGACAGCTTCATGGCAAAGCACTACAGTAAGGTCCTGACTTGGTCGATCGCTCTCAAGCTAATCTCTAAGAATGTGATCTAGAATGTTTTCACTCTATCTATGATATATCGCTGAGTCGCCAAACGGGTGATTTCCCACCAACCTGCCACTTTCCGTCAACCCTAAGCCTGCTGTTTAGTTTATCTCACTGCATTTTGCAACAATATGTTTCCTTAACATTATATATGCTTCTCTCCTCAAGCGTACTAAATGAATACTTTTAATATGTGCTATTCTAGTGGCAACTAGTTTGAATTTATGGGGGAAAACCATACAAATTTCCTTCTGCCTATCTGATCATTAGAACCTGAACCCAGGACGGATTAACAGCATTCAATAGTTCTGATTATCTTCTATCCTTAATAAAGAAAAATAGCATTTTCAAAAATTTAAACCTTTTCTTTTATACTTTATATAATACAAGTTTACTATTATTAGTATTATTTTAACTGTCTCATGCCATTTCTTTCATCTTCCCCCCCCCTCTCCAGAAGAGAGCAGAAATAGAGAGTTTTAAAATGATTTTTCACGTTTTTAATCATATTCTTAAATTGAATATGATTTTTAGTTTTGATACTTAATTTGTTAATTCTGTTTGGAAAATATGTTACTTTATTTATACAGTACTCGAAATTTACTAGACTAACAGAAATATTAATAATAACTAAATTACTCCCACATATATTATTGTTATTGCAATAACTATCCTTTCTCTTTTTACCTGAGGACCATAGGGGAACTAACTTTTCATTATTTTGAGTATATACATTTATTCATATTTTGGAACATATTGCTGGAAATTTAAGCATATTTCTCATGACGTTTCCTAATTTTAATTTTACTTGAAAAGAGGGGATAACAGAAGACAGAACTTACATAAACATGAAAAAAAACTGCATTATATATTTTATATGTAAATACTATGAAGAATAACATACTCAATTTCATCACTTAAGGCTTTTCTCATATCTTCACAGGTGGTATTATCATGCCATCCTAATTTACACAGAGAACAAAACCTTGTTCTACACTGAAAAAATACATAATGTTAAAAACAAGTTTTAATTAAACAATACAATACAAAAGTCATTCAACTAAAACTAAATCCTATTTTATACATAGCTCATAAGTTAAAGAATTAACTCTATGGAATAACTTTGAATTATCTAGCTGTACGAAACATACATAGGCCATAAGGATAAATATAATAGACAAACAAAAAGCGAAGGAACTCGGTTTAGTTGACTAGAGAAACAGGGGCGGGTGGAATCAATCAGGCTTTAAGGGCACAACATTTGGACTATGCATTTTAACATTTGGTGATTGCAGAAAAGTAAGTGGCAAATGAGCTAATCAGTTCGCAAATTTCAGTTATTGCTGAACTAAGCTAGACTTAAAAAGAACATGCACTGTCATCCTTTAAAGGCAGTGCAGGATCAAAATGCTTCTCTAAAATACCCATACTAATACAGAATGGGATTTCAATAAATCTCAGATACAGTCAAAAGTCGTTAATTCGAACACCCATAATCCGGACCTCAAAGCTACAAACTTTCTTGATGCATGCGCGTAAGACCTTTACGGCTGCGAATATGCGTGTGCGCATGCGTGCTTAATGTATAACAGACCGTATAAGCTAAGCTAAAATTATCTAATTCAGTTAATGTTGCAGATTGCATTGTTCCTTAATCTTCGAATTGGATCCGGCTTATTGTTTTTTGCAGACTGTTAGAGCAATTTTATAAAAGTAAGCTTGAACTTTCGATTATGTCAAATAGAATTTCTGATATATATTTACTAATATGTAAAGGATTTACAAAGCGAAAGTATGTTTCGAAGTCCATTAAACAAAAAGTGGAATTGCTGCAAAAAATGGATAAAGGCATATCCTTTGTTTATCTAAACTTTAACGTTTGTTTATATAAACTTTTTTTATCTTTAATGCCGCGGCGCGCAATGAATTGGAAGTTGATCTGTCAGCACTATCCTTATCTTCAGGGCAGATGTTTTTATTTTATTTGGCTTATAATTCCTTACTAAGCGTAGTATTTCATCTCGATGTACTCCATCTTTGATATGATTTAAATCAAATTCCTAGTCATTATAATTCGCTTCCGATAGCGAAGAAAGTGAGAGAGGTTATTGAAAACGAAAAAAATTTCGATTGACAAATTAATCGGTATTCTCAACACAGCAATTATAGGACTTGAGCAGCGGAACTTTGTAACTGAACAAGAAATTATGTCTGTTTATAGAATTAAAGAGAATGTATTATCACATAAAAAACGAAGCAACTTAAACAATTTACATTGAAAGAAATGTTTAATAAAGTAAACAAATAAATATTAAGCTTTTTTTTTTTTTTTGTAAATTTTGATACCCTTTAGATCATAATTGTTCTTAATTTTATAATTTCTGCATGCCATCTTACCAGATTTAAACTGATGATCTATAATCCGGAATCGGTGAAGTCCCGACGAGTTCGGATTAAAGACTTTTGACTGTATAACAATAACACTAACAAATATATACAAGGGAGCACGTAATTCTGGAATGATCCCAGACAAGGAATTCTCTACTTCCTCAATGATTATTTTTGATAATAAGGGCATGCTTACAACACATCTTCAAAGCTCATCAAATCTACATGCGCTACAAATAAAATCTCTACGCTGAAACAATTCACTCCTCACAACTAAGTATTAACAAACTCTCAGCAAAGTATTAACAAACCGTATTCTGTATCAACATATAATGTCCAAAGCATTAACATACTGTTACATGCTTATGGGTTCGTAATGGATTTAATGCACACAGAATTCATGAAATTTATTTCTCCGAAAACACTACACAGTTCTGGAACTTTCCACACAAAAAATATGTATCCAGACCTAAGAGTACAATCAATGCTACCACTTCAAAGTACTAAAAACAATGAACACAAGGCAATACATACAGCCTTAATTGCATAAGCTCAAATTGTGATCTCTTAGCTCTCTGAGCTATAAATGGGAACTGATTTGAAGATTACATTAATCAGAAATTAAATCAACATACAGGGATGTGTGTAACATTTCAACAACTTTGTAATACTCTTTCTTATATACAGTCAAAAGTCTTTAATCCGGACCTCAAAGCTACAAACTTTCTGTGCATGCATTAAAGCATACGCGTTTAATATATATAATGGACGGTATAAGCTAAGCTAAAATTATTTATTTCATTTAATGTTTAAGATTGCGTTGTTCCTTAATCTTTGAATTGAATCCGGCTTATTATTTTTTGCAGACTGTTAGAGCAATTTTATAAAAGTAAGCTTGAACTTTCGATTATGTCAAAAAGAATTTCCAATTCTGGAGCTACCAAAGCATCTACAAAGCGAAAGCATGTTTCGATGTCCATCAAACAAAAAGTGGAATTGCTGCAATAAATGGATAAAGGCATATCCTTTGATTCTCTAATCATTCCGAAATATGTTTATCATTTTCACACTGCTCTGAGGATGGGGGGGGGGAGGCACGATCCTTATCTTCAGGGCAGATGTTTTTATCTTATTCGGCTTATAATTCCTTACTAAATGTAGTATTTCATCTTGATGTACTCCATCTTTGATATGATTTAAATCAAATTCCTCCTCATTATAAATATCACAAATACACATCAAATAGTTTTCTGGTTGCAATTTTCTAATTTCGACTATGCGCGCGTTGAAAGAAATATTTAATAAAGTAAGCAAATAAATATAAAGCTTTTTTTTTGTAAATTTTGATACCCTTTAGATCATAATTGCTCTTTATTTCATAAATTATGGTTTCATATTTTTAATTTTATAATTTCTGCATGCTATCTTACCAGATTTAAACTGACATCTATATTTAAAATGAAGGGTCTACAAGTACCACCAAGTGACACTCTCGTAAATCTTAGAATTTTTGAATAAATCAAGAATCAAATTTATATAAAAATTGCTAAACATAACTGAATGGATGCCTGCATCGCTATTTCACTACCGACTTATCACTAAAACATAATTTCATCCGTTCATTGTTCAACGTAATTTTCTATAATGAATGATGCCTTTTCTTTGAAAATATTCTCGGTAAAGTGCAGAATCGCTCACTTATTTGTTTGCCGCTTTTTACAAGGGTAAAAACAATTGGATTTTTAATACTAATGTGTTTGAAACAAACACATTTTGTTTTCCAAAATAAATATTACAAGCAAACTGAGGGATTAGCCATGGGAAGCCCCCTCAGTCCCATCCTGGCTGATATCTACATGCATTATTATGAATCAAAATTGTTTGAAACTTTAAACTTCCCGGCATGGTTCCACTACGTAGACGATACTTTTACCCTGTTTGAAGGTAATAAAGATGATTTAAATAGAGTTCTTTCAACAATGAATTCTATTGATCCTGCTATTCAGTTCACTTTTGAACTTGAGAGACTTGCAATTCTCTTCCGTTTCTCGACATTCTGGTCACACGTAACACATCCAACTTCAGTACTACAGTTTACCGTAAACCTTCATCGGTTTGCCTTCCACCACACTTTAAATCATGTCATCCGACTAAACAAAAGTTAGCTTCATTTTATTCCTATGTTTTCCATGCTCTTCAAGTTTGCTCCTCCAAACTAGCCCTTGATGAAGAACTAAATTATTTAAAAGCAATAGCTATTGACAGGGGCTTTTCACCCAACATTATTAATCAAGCAGTTAAAAAATTCTCATCTCAACACACTAAAAGCCACACTCTTATTTTAGGAGATTATAAAAATTCTGTTGTCATTCCCTTCTTTCCATCAATTAGCTATAAAGTTGCACATATTTTGCAGAAATTTAACTTTCGGGTTGTTTACTCTCCCATCAATAAAATTCCAACTTCTATACTCAAGGACCCCATTCCGGATATGAATTCCTGGGGTATTTATAGGATTCCTTGCCAGTGCGGTTTAATTTACATTGGCCAAACTAAGAGAGCCTTAAAATTTCGCGTCAAGGAACATGAGGCATATGTTAGAAAAAAGGAAACACAGAAGTCTTCTGTTGCTCAACATTGTTGGTCCGAAATTACACTTTCAATTTTTCTGCTGCCAAAATTATTCAAAAAACATTTTCCATTGGAGAACTGGATTTTCTAGAGGCATTTCACATTCATAAAAATCTTTCTGTTCTAGTTAACGATCCTAATTCCAATCCCAATTTGCCTTCGGCTTTTAGAGAAATTATGTTTTAGTTCTGGTTTCGCCAACAGATGGCGCCACTTGCTTATTCTTGTCCAGGCTTTCTTATCTTATCTAAACATTATTTCCTATCTTGTTCATTTGCGGTTTTGCAGATGATGGTTCGGTAAAACCATCGAAACTAGTCCTGTGAAAATTTTGTAAATTAACGCTGATTTTTGTTGTTTGGTTTCTGAATTAGTATTTATTCGGCGTGTTATTGTGTCTTAATTGGATTTTTGTCAATTTTCTTTTACTTTTTAAGTGAAAATAGGTCAATGTGTACATAGATAATGTCAAGGGTGTGTGCAGTGCCATTTTTGTGCAATTCTAGGATTTTTTTTTTAAGTGAAAATAGATCGATGTGTTCACGTATACCAAGTATGTGCAATTCTTAAAAATGCGTTGAGCAGTGGGTGATTGTGCACTTTACTCAAAATTCTATTGCCGACTTTTCGTCTTGGGCAATTCCCAAATTGTTAAATCCATAGGATATCAAAAAAGGATTTAAAAATTAAACTGGTATTTCAATGGCGTTTTAAGAAATATAGAACTATATAAACTTACGCAATCTGAAATCAGCGCGTACACTAGATTTGTCGCGCTGTTAAACGGGCGCGTTTGCTAGATTTGGCGCTTTTGCGTGTACATTTTTGCTGCAATTTTTTTTACAGCCCTCGAAACCGAATAGTACCGTTTTTTTATATCGCTGGACAAGTTTGCCGTTTTTTGTGAGCTTATGGTCTAATTTAAAAAGACAATTCTTTGATATTTTGAAATGAGTTCCCAATCCTTACTTACTATCTCTTCCACAATAATTTCACTTCATATCTGTTATTAATGAATTTCAAATAATATTCAAATTTATTAATGATTTCTTTACCAATTTCTGAAAAATCATCATTACTAATACCAGTTGCTTCAAAGTCCTATAATTTCCTAAAATATTCTTATTCTGCATTCTTAACAGCTAATTTGAAAATGGACCACATTTTTACTTTTCTCTTTTCATCAGTTTATGCACAGCCACACAGTAGGACCATAGAAATGTGCTTTCACATACAAAATCAGATTTTGTTATTTTTTCTACTGTCCCTGGTTTATTTATCTGCAGAGATGATGGGGTGCCTATCAATAATTGCACGCAAAAGCCACACAACATATTCCAGTTAGACAACTCGCATTTTTCTAATTTGCTTCCAACATCTGTGTTTAGTCTAGATGAATAAATTATTGCTTGTAATAGGAACTGTATATGTCACCAAGGCTTCCTACATATATTTCATATGGAATTTTCATTCTATAATGTCACCTTGACAATAGCATAAATTTGTTTTTCTTAAACCCCTTAAGGACCAGGGCCGGGAGAATAAAGCACTGTCACGGGACCAGACCCTCTGAAATGGATCGTTGCCAACGGCCCGCACATTTTCAGCAGTTAAGCCTAATTTTAGAAAAAAAATTCGTATAAAATCAGCATTTTAATATTATAACTTAAACTTTTGAAGTTGCGTATTTAATGTTCTTGTTTTTAATGTGTATTAATATAAAGAATATCACATTAATAGAAATAAATTAAACTGGCAAAATAATAAAATCATAACTATACACACAGAAATAAATACTATAAACATGAAAAAATTTACAAATACAAAATTTAAAAAAAAAAAAAAAAAAAAAGAATTACCTGTAGGTAATTAAATTCCAGTTTAAAAATTCTGCTGTGCGTGAAATAATTCAAAACAAGAATCAACACACAGCCCTACATTGCATATTTCGCACTCAAAATACGCTGTTTGCTTTCGCTTTTCCTTAGTTTTAGCGTACACAATGCATCTTCTAATACTTTTATTACCTCCTCTGTCAATGCAAATTTTCAGAAACTGTCTTCCAGTTAGATGGAAAGGTAGAGTGTCCGGTGATTTTGGACAAATTTTTAAGTTTTTAAGTAAGGTCTCTTAACCATGTCTAACGAAATGAAACTGAATATAATCCCAACACATGTCACAAAACTTCAAAAGACACTCAGAAATATTCATCCTCAAACACTGTGTGACATCAGATTTATATTAGAAGACTTCCTGTTTTTCTAATCGAAAACAGCATCCACGATTACCGGAAAGTGATCAAGGAAAGACACCCCACTGGTAGGATATCCACTACTGATCACGTCAATATATACTTTATATATAATTACATTATATATAAATACATTATATACCAAAATATTATGCCTGTGTCATTATATATAATGACCATTCAAGGCATTACATATAATGACCTATTAAATCGAGTAAGAAAAACAAAAACACTGGCTCTTTCCTGAGAAATGCGAGTAAGACGCATTACGTGTCGAGAAATCTGATAGTCTTTCCTCTTCTGTAATACAGTCAAAAGTCGTTAATTCGGACACCCGTAATCCGGAATGATCTATAATCCGAACCTCAAAGCTAAAATCTTTCTGCGCATGCGGCGCATTGACGCATGCGCATAGGCGTTTTACTCGTGCGTGCAAGACATTTACGACTGCGCATATGCATCTGCGCAAGTGCAGAATACGTTTTCGCGTGCGCGTTTAATGTATGACGGACGGTATAAGCTAAAATTATCTAATTATCTATTTCAGTTAATGTTGATAATTGCGTTGTTCCTTAATCTTCAAATTGGATCGGGCTTATTATTTTTTGCAGACTGTAAGAGCAATTTTCTAAAAGTAAGCTTGAACTTTCGATTATGTCAAACAGAATTTCCGATGCTGGAGCTCCCAAAGGATCTAGAAAACGAAAGTATGTTTCGATGTCCATCAAACAAAAACCGAATTGCTACAAAAAATGGATAAAAGCATAGCCTTTGTTTATCTAACCGTTCCGAAATCTGTTTATCAATTTCACGCTGCTCTGCGCGGGAGGGGGGGGGGCACGTCGCGGCGCGCAATGAACTGGAAGTTGATCTGTCAACACTATCGTTATCTTCAGGGCAGATGTTTTTATTTTAGTCGGCTTATAATTCCTTACTAAATGTAGTATTTAATTTCGATATACTCCGTCTTTGATATGATTTAAATCAAATTCCTCGTCATTATAAATATCACGAATACAAATCACATAGTTTTCTGGTTGCAATTTTCTAATTTCGGCTATGAGTAAGGTATGCTTTACGCATCCGCGCGTTAAAAGAAATGTTTAATAAAGTAAACAAATAAATATTAGGCTTCTTTTTTTGGTAAATTTGGATACCCTTTAGATCATAAGTGCTCATTATTTTATAAATTACGGTTTCATATTTTTAGTTTTATAATTTCTGCATGCCATCTTAACAGATTTAAACTGATGATCTATAATCCGGAATCGCCGAAGTCCCGACGAGTCCGGATTAAAGACTTTTGACTGTATTGTTCTAATGTTACTTTTTAATTAACCAAGAAAGCTTATGTTAAGTTTCAAAATAAATAGAAAAAAACAAAAAAATTCCTAATGAAATAAACAAAAACACCCTTTAATTCACAGGCGCACTTATAAAGAGCCATGATTTCCAGCTTGTTTATTTCAATAAATCTCTAAAAAACCAGAAGCACAAAACATAAACTAATACCAGTACATGAAATGCCATATGAATCAATCCATGTGAAAACAATTACCACTTAGCTCCATTTACTGGCTTTTAAAAATTCAAATAAATTGTTCCATTTTAATGTCGCATATACGCTACGCTGGGCTCTTAGGAGCAGAATCTTTGCGTCGCATATACGGGACGCTGGGCTGGTAGGAGTGGAATCTTTGTGTCGCGTATACGCGATGCTGGTCCTGAACGGGTTAAGCATACTGAAAGCATACACTAGAAATTTTTCCTTTCTTACAACTGGGGGTTTTAAGAATTCATTTGAACGCCCCTAATATATAGTAACACTTTATTCGGAGATTCTAAAGATATGCTGCTTTTCAGGATTTTACGATTCTGTCATTAAGTTTTATGTGAAGAAAGCAATATCTAATAAAGCTAAATGGACAGAAAAGTTATCTTATTACGAAAACAGAACACTGATATCATGAATTATGAAAAGACAAAAATTGTATGGCAACACTTAGCATTCTACAGTTAATTACAAGAACATGCTGCTTTTAAAAGATTTCATGATTAAGTTACTGATTTGAGAACTTAAAACTCAACACGACCAGAGGACATACTACAATCGATTCAATATGTTCAAATGAAAGCATGAGAAAGGATGTGTACAAAAGCGTGTATAGTTATTATTTTCAATTGTCTGGGAGAACAGAATAAAAAAAAAAGTTGCGTATTCAGGCACAGAAAGGTTTGGAAATGCATTAGATTTTGTTTGCAAACAATCAACCAATTTCATGTTTTAAACACCAACGAGCTTTAAGGAAACTATCATTCGATACTTTACTTAAAGCTTGTTGTTATTTAAAATGTGGAATTAGTGGGAATTCTTTATGTTTTGGCTATTCAGATTTTTTTATATAAATTTTATTCTTTCAACTTTCACAATACCCTGTCCATGGAATTATATATAAATATATCACAGTATCATGTGCATAAAAAATCAACAAATTACAACTAGATATGTTTCTATGGAAAACCTTTTAAATGTTCATCTTTGCCACTACTGCAAAAATGACAAATATTGACAAATCATATACACAAGCCATATTTTTCGAGCATACTTTGGAGTACTCACAATTGTTGAATCATGCATATCCTTATGGCTACATCTATTTCCATGGCAGAAAGAACAGCCAAAAGGTGAATAAGGCTCCAGTATTTTGGTTTCTCAGTATATATTACAGTGAACAAATGCTTTAAAATTTGCTCATTTTCTTAGTTATTACTTGCAATAGATTTTTCCTTTTTACAAGCCACCTAAGTTTAGCAGACATATAAGCATTCTTTACTAGGACCATACCTTACAATGATACAATTGCTCATTGTAATATAATTTATTATGCAGTTGTGAAATAATGATGACTGCCAGTTGATAAAGGTTGAAAACTGTGATTTGAACAACATGTCAATATTATACAGACAGTTATAAACAGATGACCGTTTTTCACGTTTTTATTCCTTTGGTAAGATTTGTGGAACTTCATCACAGTCTAACAAGCATACTTTTTTTTTTAATTGCTTCTTTGGACAAAAAGACATTTTACAAATATTTTTTAACTTGATACTTTCCCTAAATGAACTTACATTAATACAATAAACTGGAACTCCAACATCGGGATCTGAAGGAGGCTGAAATGTGCATACTGTTTCACAACCAGCTGCAGGACACCATACCCTGTGGGGATCCAACTCAACATCTACAATTAAAGATTTTTAAAGAAATTAACAATTACATTCTAAAACCATCACCTTGATGTGTTGAATTAAAAATCAAGAAAGTATCAAGAATCAAGAATGTTCAAATATTTTTAATTTAGAATTTTTCTCACCCCTATAATATATTTGAATATAATATTCTTATTAGTGTATGTAACAACATCTAAAAAGACATTTTAAACAGAAGTTAATGTTAGCATTGTTACTTATAGCCTAAACACATGAGAACATACTCATGAAATTACACATAGTAAATATAGACAAAATAAAATAATTTAGAACAAAGAAGCAAATCATTTAGTACTGCAACTAATAATAGAGACATTCAATTTTCCATTTTATATTGACCAAGTTCTATTAAGTGACAATTTTCACTTTCACATACAATCAATGCAAACTATGCTTTTTACCACTTTTCCACATTTTCAGCAAACTCATCTCTTGAATTTTTAGCATACATTAGTTCTGTTTCACTGCATTTTCTAATCTGGCGATGTACACTCAAATTAATCTTTGATTCCTGACCAGAAATTTTCAGAATAGAGCATGAGCTCATCTAATGATACTGACCAAGTGCCATTTTGATGTTGCCGATAAGTTTCTGTTCCAATATTTTTTTTTAATAATTCTTGTCATTGGTTCATTTATAAATAACTGAAATTAACTTATGACTCTTTACTTTTCTCTTTACATATGGCATTCATTATTCCCCCAGATTCTGATACAGTGAAACACCATTTATACATCATTCAAAGGACCATTTACAATGTATAAATGAAAAAGACATGAAAGCAAAATTTCAATTAACAATTTGAAATAAATTCAAATATTTTTATTAGTTGCAAAGTTTTGATATTACTAACCTACTACTGAAATCAGACAATTTTATAATCATACCTAAATTTTGTTTAAAATATTAACTATGTTCGACCAAATTTATATTAAACAATTAAACAGTACAAACACTTTTATAATTACTACTTTAAAATTGATATCAATACAAATTTTATATTTTAAATATAAGAATGCATATTTCTGTATAAAGTTCATCAATTCAGTATTTAGTTACATAAAATTCTGGGGGGGGGGACCTTTATTTGGATTACCATCTTGAATAAGAAGTTGCGCCCTCCCCCAAACAGTTAAAAATCAATTTTAACTTTCTTTACAGAAATATAATTGTCATCTGACATGTCTTTTGATTCTGAATCTTCAAACTACTATGATTTGAATTCAGTCATTGAAATGTTTTCTCGCTTGTATAATAATTACACACAAATTTCTGAGGGTGTCAATGCAGTGGATAGCATTTTGAAAAGAAGGAGAAATTTTTTCTTCATTTTCTGCTTCATCCCCATTACTTAAATATTCATCTGGTTATAAGTTTTCAGGCAGTTTTTCAATTCTTCAACTGTGCACAAGTCTGACATCATTACATTTGCATCACATTTTATACATTCTTCAAATATAATGATCAATCCCAGTGTTTTCTAATCTTCTTCATCTACAATTAACAGTTTCATCATTATTTTCATTATAACTTCCACTTGACTCTAGGTTTGAAAACTCTCTTGTAACAAAACAATTTTAATTGCTTATATTTTACTCAAGTCCAGGCAAGTGAAACATATTGTTGCGTGCATATGGGTTCGTTATGAAATGAATGCGCAAGTCCGATGAAAAATAAAGAAAATTTATTATTATCACAACAAATATGATTAAATGTCCTCAAATATTCTTTCAGTATTACAATATATCACAGTAGTTATCTTCTAACTACTCAAACGTTCAAAAGAACTTAATTCAAAACAGCTAAAGAAAGCTAATCCGCGAATTCGCTACAGTCAACAAGAGCAGTTTTCTAAACAACAAAAAAAAACAACAAACTAAGTAACTACTACGAACTGAGAGGTTTTCCTCCTTTTATAAGATTTTAAAATCGTGCGCTAGAACTTTCTCGAAATCAAAAAGAGATATTTATTAAATGTTACATGCACACGCTCTTGTATTTTCAATTTTCCGGCTTGGCTTTCTTTTAATATTCGTCACGCGCTGCACTGCGCGGGAAATAAAACCATTTAATTTACAATTCAACTAACATTAGCTATTTAAATACCAAATCCGTAACACACTGCCCCCTTCCCAAGGACTGCACATCACGAGTAGTACAATCCCTGGACAGGAAGCCAAACTCACAACTAAGGCATAAATGCAATAATACTAAATACAAACCAAATGTTATCAAATACTAAACATAAATCAAATACAAAAATAGAAATCAAATACTACACATTTAGAAACAAGAAGGACCATGGTCTTACACTATTTACAATTATTTACATTACTTACTATGGCCATAGTAATGAGCTAACCTGTCGTAAGAATGACTTTAGGTTTAGAGTTCGAAGACTTACGGATCCGAACCACGAGGTCATTTAGCTTGTTTAGGACTGTGTACGGATCATCCCAAGGTGACTGTAATTTTGGACAGAGTCCTTTTCGTCGAATTGGGTTCCACAAACACACCTTGTCTCCTTCTTTGAATCTGTGTCCAGTAGCTCTCGTGTCGTATCTGGTCTTCACTTTCTCCGTCGCTAAGTTAACTCGCTTTCGTGCGGAACGGTGCATCACTTCAAACGGGCCTGGACATCTTGGATATGTTCCTCAGGCGATGAAGGTGCATCCGTATGGCGATCAAACAGGTGGTCACAAGGCAGACGAAGGTCTCGACCGAAGAGCATCTGGGATGGAGAATAGCTGGTAGTCTTGCGTTTTTTTTCGACCCTAGTATGATTTCGGCAGCTTCCGAGCTGGGTCTTTCGGACAAGGCATCGGCATTTCCAGGCGAGGATCCCTTCTGAGGAGGATGGATAGTCATGTCATCAGATGCTGAAAGCAGTTTGTTGTTTTTCAAGTCTAAGGAAAAATTGTATTTCCTTAAAAAGTCCAATCCGAGCATTTGCATAGATCAGTGTAATATCCGCCACATATGATATGCCGTGTGATGGTAGGCGGCACTTCCAAACGTGATGTTAATGTTTAACTTTTCCGTAGCGATGTCGATCTTGTCACCAGGACGCAGGTCTGAAGGGTAACACAGGATGGCGTCCAAATAAGTTTATCTTTAAATTGTTGAGCTAAATCTTTCCTAATGATGGTAACATTAGCTCCTGTGTCAATGATCATATTGCAAGGGAACTCCATCGAATATTCCCATTGATGGACAGTCCGTTACTGTTGCCACTCACTGTAGAAATCTCAAGCGCTTTAAAACAAGGTTTTTCATTATCTGGCAACCTCCGTTCCTCGATATGGTCATTAATTTGTTTTCTTGCATCGTTGCTGGGAAATGGTCTCAATTTTCCGTGCTCTGGGGTGTTCTGCAATTCCTTCGTACGTGGCCTTCAGCTCCACAGTTCCAGCACTTTGGTTTCTTGTCACTCCTTTTGCGTCCCATGGCATTTAATTGTCTGTTTAAATCATATGTTTTATTTTCCGTGCTCTGGGGAGTTTTGCAGTTCCTTCGTAGTGGCCTTCAACACCGCAGTTCCAGCACTTTAGAACTGGTTTCTTTTCACCATTCATGTTCCGTCTCAAGCCATTCTGACTGTCTGTAAAATCATCTGTTTTATTTTCCGTACCCTGGGGTGTTCTGCAATGCCGTCATAGGTGACCTTTTAGAACCACATCTCCAACACCTTAGAGCCACTTTGTTCTCACTGCTTCTCAGTATCAAAGCGTCGACTTGTCTGGATAAATCATCTAAATGAGCCATCAGTTGATCCACTGGCTCGTGGACTCGCACAGCTCTGACTGGGTAGTGATCTCTATGAGTTGCTTGCTGGGCTGCCTCGAATTTCATGGCGTACAACAACAGAGCCCTTTTTATATCCTTCACATCCGCCAATTCGCAGAGCTTTCTGTATTTCAGGGATCCCGGATGCCATCGATGATAAAGTATTGCAGAGACAGGATTTCCCTTGTTTCTGTCGGACACTTCGAAAAGGCGAGAAGGGACAGCCTTTCAAAACTCATGGCGAGTTCCTGGAGTGTTTCCGTGGGCTTCTGTTGACGGGATTTGAATTGAAGCCTGCTGTAGTCTTTTAAACACTTTTCCCCAAAGCGCAGCTCCAATGTGTCGGATAGAGCTTCAAAGTCTAGCCTCTGGTTTTCGGAAAGCGTCTGCAGGATATCCGCTGCGTCTGCTCTCGGAGAAGTGGCGAGATGACAGGCCTTAGCTTGGGAATCCCATCCATTCGCATCCGCAACTATAGAAAATTAGGTCTTATACACTTGCCAGGATGTCTTCCCATCATATGTGGATAGCTTCAGAGATGGTCGAGCAGGCATCGGTAAGAATTTAGAATCATCACTCTTGCTCCTTGCTGCCGCTACGAATTTCTTTAAAGTATCCATTTCTTTGGCAACTGCAGAAACTCTCTCATCAATTTGTTGTTTAACGGAACAAACTCCTCCTTCTATTTCTTCTTTGACTGAATCAACTCTGTAACCTATTTGTTGTTCCACGGCTGAAACTCTGTCTTCTATTTGTTCTTTCACAAAAGAAACGTTTTCTTCAATTTGCCCAACTTTAATTTTGACTGCGTCTATTCTGCCTTCCATAGCCTCAAATTTATGTTCTTAACAGCTTTCATCTCGTTTTTAACAGATTCTTGGCCCAATTTCATCTCTTCCCGACCAACATCCATCTTTTCTTTCATTTCTTCTTTAAATGAAGCAAAGGCTGATATCAACTGCCTTAATTGCTCTTCCATCGCTCTTGTAATTGGCATTCAAATCCCACTTCTGACACCAAACATTTGTTGTGTGCGTACGGGTTCATTACGAAATGAATGCACATGTCCGATGAAAAATGAAGAAAATTTATTATTATCACAACAAATACAATTAAATGTCCTCAAATAATCGTGCAGTATCACAATCTATCACAGTAGTTATCTTCTAACTACTCCAATGTTCA